TATTTTAAAAGAAGGGAATTTCTAGGGTATTACAAAATTTCAATGAGGACTAGTTATGTGGCTCAATAGTTCTCAATATGTAGCATTCACCCACCTTGTGACGATGGCGAAGAAGTTACCAATACTATTAGTAATGATGCTGGCTATGAAATAAATAAGAAAAGGCGAAGTTCCTATAGATATGATGAATAGATGGAAGATGAGCCAATAGTGATATGTAAGTGTTCAAACCATGTCATGTAACAATTATAAAACCAGTTGAGCAATTGGTTATTGATGGTTGTGGTTTTACCAGAGCGAGGTCTGGTTCGATGACATGGTATGCAAAATAGTTTACATGATTTATACATGTAACTAACATTGCTTCAAACTCACTAAGTATAGTTCTATGATTTATACATGTAACTATGCTCTTTTATGGTTTAAGAATTCTTATAAGGGAAGCCTGGTGTTTGTTTTGGGAACTAACTTAAGTGGTTGTTAGTTTTGGACTTGATGTGGAGTGTAGTTTTTTTTTTTGGTATGCAGGTCCACTTATGTGTTGTAACCCTTTTGATGGTATCTATAGATATGTAACTTTAGTTTCCAATTGACATATCTAACCATGCTCCTATCCTACTGAAGTGTTTCTCCTTATGTTTGCTATTAACTTTTGACATCTGAGGAAGGCAGGGGGGTTGCGATTGTAAAAATTGCTTAACCAAAAAAAACAAAATCATTGGTCTTGGATCCTTAGAGGTCTAAACTATTGGTTGGGTCTGGTAAGAGACTAGGGTTTTTGGAGTTTTGAACTCTACCAAATAGAGCTGTAGGGAGATCAACATGTGCCCTTTGTGTGCGCAACTATCAGTAGTTGATAGTTGAGATGACTAGTATGGATTTTCAACGGACTATCAGTAGTTGAGATGTGATGAGGGTAGCATGGTGGAAAATTAAAGGAATTAGTGAAACCATTCTTGCAGGAGGTGATTTCATTTTATTTGTCTTTTATATATATCTTTTACGGATAGATAGCGTAGAACTTAAGCATGTAAGGTACAATTTCATATCTTTGGTAATTTTAAATTATCATCCCCTTGAAGAGACCTAGTTCATGTAGGCGATATATGTAATTAAGGTATTTCTACACCTATATTTACTTTTGGCCTTTGAAACATTTGAGGTGAAATGCAGGCTATTAAACTTGTGTGGAAATGTCCCTGAAAACTTGATTTTTCATTATTAATTTTGCGCAGAAATATGCTCATAACATGATCTCATTTGCAAACTATTAACTCCACAGTTTTGGCAGCATTAAGACTTTCATTGCATCTACTATGGAAAGCCCACACTATTGGGTAATAAATTTATAGATTATATTTATTATTTGTTTGGGGTTTGGAAAACAAAGGTGTTGTTTGCTTGGGAGTCGAAGTTATTCCCATGGGAAATTAGGCTTCCTAGGAAGTGAAGTGTTACTTGGTTGGTTGTAGGTGTAGGAAATTTGATTTTCTGAGAATTGAGGAAGAAGACATGCTTTTCTTTTACTGTAAATATAATGATGAGGAAGAAGAATATCTATTCAGAATTAATAAAGTTGGAAAACATACAAGAGAATGTTAGATAGGCGCTGGTTGTTTGTGTTTCTTTTTTAAATCATGCGAATTTTATGAATTACCTACCATTTTTGTTGCTTAGATCAGCCTAAAGTTTACCTTATTCTCCCTTAAATCAACTTAATTGGATGTGTCCCCATGCTATGGCTACTCATCAAATTTGATTACAATTGTGATTGGATCGATGTCTCTAATCTTATTAACCTATTTTCATAGTAATTTGTTTTTGTTGCTCAATTGATGGAGTATGGATCCGTTTTAATATATTTTGCAGCATCTACTTTTTCATGGGGTGGTTGGAAATATGTTGCAGCATCTATTTCCATTCTGGTTATTTTTTATTTTCTTTTTTGAGGTACAATTTCTTTATTTTATTAGGTTGCTTTTGTGTTTGATCAGGTTGATTTGGTGTTCATTGCTTCGAAGTCTAATGGTTCGATGCGATATGCTAAGAAGATGCTTGAGCAATTGAGTTTGCTGGCAACAAGATCACCATGACATTGACATATAAACTTCTAAGTATCTTGACACCTTTTCCTGTCGAATTTTGTGCTTAAACAAAATTGACCATTTTGTTTCATTTTTGTAGATTGGAAGTGTAGTTGCTGGCTTTACTTAACCTGGCTCATGTCCACTTTACCGAGTCACTTCCTCTCTTTAATACACTCATATCCTTGTCTTTTCTTCTATAATCTTCCATTATCATTGTTTCTTCTCGGTTCTATGTTGGTTATCTGTTTGGGCTCTTATCACACATCACATACTGTTAAAAGAGCTTTGGGAAATTTCATTAGCATGAAATGGATTCACCTGATGAATATGGAGATTGTTTGGTTAAAGCTTTGTTCCCGTCTTCCCCTTATCAGCCTGAGATTCTTTTTTATTTGGTTGGCGTGGATGTGGATGGGTGTAACTGATATGGATTTTAATGGATAGAACCTTCAATTGCCGTTGAGAGCTTTGGAATCTTGAGTTTCGGTCAAGAAACGCTAAGCAACACGAGCTTTAAACCTAAACTAGGCTAAGAATACACAAGCACAAGCTTACGTAAAACTTAATAAATTTCAAATTGACAAAAACTGATTTTTACTAATAGCCTAAATGCCATTATATAGGCTACAAATAAGTACTAAGATTTCTAATTACATTAGAAGTCCTAGATAAATCAACTAGCCAAATTCCTAAACACACTTCTAATAAAGATAGAATTATTTAAAAGATTAAATTTCCTAAACTCAAAAACTAATCAAAATAAAAGATTAAAATAAGGAAATAAATCCTAACCGCTTTAAAAAAGAAAAACCCTTTCAAGTGAAAGGTAAAAACTTGTAAGCAAAATCTAAAATAACAATTAAGCTACTAAATATCGAAGGTTCCAAGAGGGGTAATATTTTCCATAATTATTCCATATCATACTCCTCTTCTTGAAAAGAAACTTGACCTCAAGTTTCATCCTCAAAGCAAGGTACCAAATCAGACGAAGGAAGAGTAGCACAAACTCCATTCCCTATAAGAACCTTGAATGTTTCATAGCCAACCTTCTCAACAATGTCAAACGGTCCCTCATCCATTGGTTCACCATTCTTGTGATCAATATGCAAACGTTGAGCATCTAAGGACAACCACACTTTCGATCCCTCTTGCAAATTAGTTCCTTTGCGCATTTGGAGCAATTTTTCCCTTCGTTCTCTCTTATCTTTTGAACAATCAAGTACCTCATGATGGCACGAGCTAAAACACACATGAGCAACGCCTCCTTTTTGTTCTTTACGCATAGGTGGACGTATAGGAGGTAAGGGATAGATGCAAGGCTAAATGTCTTTTGTTCCTCTTTATCCTTGTAATCACAAGCAATATAAAGTCTTTCGAATTCTTTGATATAATTAGCAACCGACATATATCCTTGTGTCAAAGAATTTAATTTCAAATATAAGTCTTGCTTATAAGATCGTGGAATAAATCGTTTTTTCATCTTAGCGTTTAAATCTTTCCAAGTAGAGAGTTGTGGCTTACCCTCTCTTTCAAATTTATTTTGTATGGAATCAAACCAAAGGGAAGCATACCTTGTGATCTTGAGAATAGCGTGATTAAAACATTTGTGATTGTCTAAATTTTTGTGTGCAAAGATACGCTCCATTCTCCTCTCCCAATCCAAGTATAAGTCTGGATCACCATCACCATCAAAGCTAGGCAAATCAGCAAGCTTTATCTCCTTAACTGTGTGATTGCGTGTGTGCAGACACACCAGGAGATAACATGTATCATTGCTGCTGTGTCTTTTAATATATATAGTTATTGATTGATACTACTCCCTCCATTACTTTGTACTTGCAACAATTGATATTATTTGTGAGATATTCAATTGTTGCAAGTAAAACGTAGGTAACGGAAAAAAGTAATCTAAAAAGGAGACGAGACATCGCCAAAAAGCACATCATATAAAGGAAATGTCATTAAAATAACTAAATAAGTGACACTTTTGGTTAGCCTTCAAGTACATAGACACGATGACGCAAAAGTGTAATTTCGACCGTTTTGTAGGCTATGTAAATGACAAAAAAAGAAGTCGGCAACATTTCCAAGAGTTACTATAATAATGGAGTTCATACCCCTAATCACCCCCACCACGACGGGAGAATGATAAATATCTAACATCATTTCAATGGGGAACTATAAATATCTAACATCTTTTACCATGAATTTAACGATATTTCACCTAACTATGTTTATGCTCTCTTTGTTCTACAATGATTTATGTATATATTTTTTATAGTTTATACGCTTCTAAATGTACATTTTATATTATTGATTTTTATAATTAGTTGTTTGTAAAAAGTTTTGGGTATTAATGATGTACTCCATACTTATCAACTAAAATCAATCAAATGAAATATTAGTTTATTACAAATTAAAAAGACGAAGAAATATTACTGAAAATATAAGTTTAAAGTTTGCAAAGTTTGACTCAAAAGATAGGTAGTAATTTAAGTTGGACGGAGAGAACAAAATTAGGAACATCATAAAAATTTTTTTTTAACGCATGTAATAATCTCCAATATACGTATTGTAATCCACTACTTGTCGAGTTGTAGTAACTACTATGTATGTTAAAGCCCTATTTCTTTGGTTTGAAGTTGACTTCCCTTCCAAAAAAAGAAAAAAAAAAGTTGACTTAAATTGAGCTGAAATGAACTAAATTGAATTAAATTGATTTAAACTAAATCGAACTTAAATGTAGCATAGAAATGAACTAAACTTATATGAGCTGAATTGAAGTACCATAAACTTCAAACTAAAGAAACGCAAAGGGCCTACATACTTGGGACTTTTTAGAGGGCCGACTTATGATGTAGTGGCACCAATAGTCACCTTATATCCTTGAGGTGCGAGGTTCAATTCTCACCATTAATTAATTGATAAAAAAGTAATTGTGCTTTTCCACTTATTAAAAAGACACTTCCTCTACTAGTGATCATTCATTAACCAAATTCAAACAATAATCAATCACTCTAACTTACTATTGACATTTTTCCACAATTATACGACCCTCCAAATAAAAGAAGGTAAAAATGGAAAGAGGCTACGGTTTCCAGGAGGGAGGTGGGTATGGCTCAGACACTAGTCGCTATAATTCGGCCGATACCAACCGCTATGGTACAGACCCCAATAGCGGATATGGCGGCGGTGGTGGTTATGGCTCAGATTATAGAACATCGGTTGGTGGCCCCGGTGGTGGCTATAGTTCAACTGAGACTAACCGCTATAGTAGTACAAACTCGGGTGGTTACGACAACAACGGTAGTTATGGCTCAGGCTACAAAGGCTCTGGTAGTGCCTTTGACAACAACGGTAGTTATGGTAATAAGGCGGATGGTAACCGCTATGGCTCAAGTTACGCTGCGGAGGAGGGTTTTGGTGCCGGTTATGGTTCGAACCCGGCTAACCTCTATGGTTCAAGTCGCTCAAGAAACTACCAAGGCCCAGGTGGTGGGACTGGTGAGATGGTACGTAAATCCTACGCCTAAGTTTACATAGTTATGTTTTTATCGGTAAATACAGTCTAACTTACAACGTGAATGTGAATAGTGTCACTCTCAAATGAAACAACAAAATAAATCCACGCAACATTATTATACTCAAAATATCTACTATATGCAATCAAAAGTTATTTCGTCCATTTTTTTTTGGACTTTTTACATCTTAATTACGAAGTAATCTTTTTCCTTTTTCCTTGTCTATATATCTTATCTTAGATTCCTAACAATTACACATTGATCATCAATTGGTATTAGTTATTTCATATGGTACATAATTATTAAATTATGAGGATGTCCCAGTTTTTTATGGTGAAAAACAATTTTGTTTTCCACATGATATATTCGTAAATAAACCAACAAATTTATTCAACTTTATTCAATTGTGGAGCCCACAATAATATAAAAAAGTTGTTCATTTATTCATAAAATACCCTCTTGAGAAACAAATTTCGTTTCTTAAAATGATAAACAGAGAACTTCCCATTATTGATGCATACTTCTTTGTGTGTTGTTATCACAAACATTAATCATAATAGGGGGTATATATAGATGCAGTAATTTTCATTGGCAAATTTGATCATTTTCTTACAACTCACTATTCAAAGCTTAACTTTTATGGAGAAAAATCTATAATACAAGTATTAATTTACGTTAGTATAAGAAAACTTTGTACATAAGTACTACGCTAATATAGTAAATGCACACTTTATTATATAGTACGATGGAGGAAGTATATATGTAATACAAAGTAGTCTTTTGAACCCGGACGTTTAATATCGACCTTGGCCTTAATAAACATCTCTAAAATTTCAAATCCACAGTGCACGATTCCTGGATCCTCCACAGGGGGCGGCAGCTATGGCTCGACTGAGGCACACCATTATGGCTCCACGGGGGATGGTTACGGTGAGTCTGAGGCGATGAGGTATAGCAGAGAGAAAAGAAGGGGCTACAAGAGGAGTGGTTGCTTCCCGTTCCGATGCTTACGCTTTGGTAACTATTTAATTCTTGCAAGACCTTCTTATTTTGTTTTCAGTACATAACATAGATATTATACCTTCGTTTCGTATTTTTTTGCAACTTTGAAATATTTTATATTTCACAAATAATATTCAAAGTTGCAAAACTCCTGAAACTAACAGAGGTAATAATTCCTTTGTTTTGTTCTAAATGCAATATTTCCCCTTTTTTTGGACAACTTCAAATTAAATGCGACATTTTTTTTTTCTTTTTTGTAAGTCGTGTTAATGGTTTATAACATAGATATTATAAACTAAATCAAATGAACATAAAAAGTCAAAAAAAAAGTTTAATACAAGTAGGTTTTTAGTTGTTGACCTGCACTCTAGTTAAGTAGTTATCATTCTTAATAAGCTGTTTGTGAAAATATTACATCGAGTTAAGTACAATCTAAGGTACACAAATTTGACAAAAATTGCAATTTGAGTACGTACCCAATTAGGTTGTAAAAGTTGCAATCGGGTACTAATTGACAATTGCAATTTCTGTTAGGGCCTATTTTCATACGTTGAAATTCAGTTCAGTATAGTTCAGTTCAGTTCAATTTAGCTCCTAATTTCCTTCTCTTATAAAATATTCAGTTCAGTTCAATGCAGTTCAGTTCAGTTCAGTCAATGAGAACAGGCTCTTAGTTTATGGAGATTCCATTAACTCTCCAAAAATAGAGTACGTAGATTGTGCTTATTAACTCATATTATTACGTCGAGTGAATTTTCTCTTGGCAATTCCAATAATTCTTCGTTTCTTTCCTTTCTTTTTTTGGGACAATTTTAAAGTTAGCACAAAAGTTGGACAACTATAAGTATATATGAAAGAGTAATTGAGTTTGAGAGGTTACATACATGTACGTGGACGAACTCTTATTAAATCCTTGCAACTACGTTACACAAATGCTTATTTGAAAAATCAATACAATTCTATTTTATGTTTTTGTTTCTGATTATAGTCTTAATCTTTGTCTTGGCATGTAAACTCATAAGGTCGCTGAAGGAGTCGTACGTAGCTGGCGCGGTGGCATCTGGTGGTTTTGCCTTCCATCAGCATCACCAGAAAAATCTATTAAGGATGAGGAGGTGGCAGGAGGACGGCTGTTAGAATATAGTGTTAATTGTGCAACAATAATAAAATATATATTTATAATGTAAATATAAATATACATTGAGTATTACTTTTATTGATATTATTTCACATTGCTTTAAGTTTTACAATGACGTTAGTTTATATATCAATATAGGTTGGCTCAAGTGACAAGCAATTGTAGGTTGTATGTTTCATGAAATGTGTAAATGAGTACACTTAAACAAATTGATATGAAAAGACAGCAAAATGGTAGGGAAGATTGTATTGGGATGAGATAGTAAAGATTACTCCCACAAATCTACACAACAGAAACATAATTTTCATCTTCATTCATCAACATGGTATGTAATTCCCTCTGTCCGAGTGAAGTGCCAATCCAACCCTTCCCTCATGAGGCTCATCCTTTGAAGTAAAACAAATTCCGCTAAGAGATGGGAGGTCTAAATATTATGGAAATGCTATTATTGAACAAATTCAGAGATTAAATAGATGATACATCAAAAAGTGCTGTATGCCTATTGAAGGACAGGGCATAAAATCTTTGTATGCAGTATGCCTGTTCCAAAGTAATTTTGTAGGAAAGTGGTTATTTATTTATTTATTTTTTTTATTTATTTATTTATAGAGATAATAGCTTGAGTAATTTGTCTATATGAACTGGTTTGACAATAAAAATAATTTTTTTTTGCATTAAAATCAAGCCGTTGTAAAAAAAATGGTAATTCAAATCTTTATAAATTTGACGTCAAATTATATACTACTGCTAAGTCTTTTACTCTATAATTACAATTTTATGAATTAATGCACAAAAAAAAATGGAATAATGTTTGATTTCTTACAAACTTATTATTGTGTAATTATTAAGGAGTCACATTGCAAGGGAAATTTAGATAGGGTGTTATGTATATGAATAGTTTATCAATTAAACTAAACATTAATACATGAAATTTTTCAATCATTAATAGTATGGTATGATTTGGTGACACATCATATGCCAAATGGCAAAATTAGTAAAACATGACAAAATAACATGTCTTGCCATGAGTTTTAGTATTATATATTGATTGATTGATAATAATGCTCAACCAAATATAGAATATAAATTAATAATAACGCTCAACCAAATATAGAATATAAATTGCTCATGTGCTAATTATATGAGAGAATTGAAAATTAATTAAGACATGGGGCAATTAATTGATGATTAATACATTCTATCTATAGTAATTACATTTAACAAAGTGTGGAGCCTGACCCTTTATTACTCATGCATGAGTCATAAGAGCAATTTCAATGGTTGTAGCTAGAGACTTGCTTGCAATTTCATTAATTCTCTAGCTACTAGCTTGACCATTGGGGCTAGAAAACTCAATTAGCTTGGCTTTTGGCTTGGGAATCAAACTTGGCAAAATAAAAATGCTCATGACATCAATTAAGCTCTTTCCATGTATTTTCTATCCAACAACTAATACTAAGCTAATAGCTAGCCATTGGAGCAAAAAGTAGCTAAAATGATAATTAGCTTAAAAGCTTATGTGGCATGACAAGTTAATTGTCAAAATTAGCTTGTCATTGGAGTTGCTCTAACAAACTCCATAACAACTCAATGTACAATACAATCTCCATTCTTCTGAGATTGTTCCAATTAAATTTTTAGAATCAACTTTTAGAAAAATTGATCACCATTAACCACTAATCCGTAATTTATTGGTAAAAAAAAAATAGTCATGTGAAATATTGCTAGATTCGCTTCTATAGTTCCATGTATACTTATAATAACAAATTTTATTAATGTAGTACATAATTAAAGATATTTATGCATTAAGACTAGTTGGAAATCATAAAAAAACAAACGGTGTAATCTTTAAAAGACGAAACATTTAAACACAAGGTTGCCAAAATTCAAGATGCTAGTAATGTAAAATAGGGACCATCACATATCGTATATTATTTGTGTTCTACAAACGTGCAAGAAATCAATATTTATTCAAGTACAACAGAATGGTTTGACAATTTAAGGACACCATTTGTGTTATAAGTAAACCATACATTCACTTGTTTTAGTCACCCAATTTACCATTCATTTACGTCCATACACAACCACCACCAAACACCATGTCAGCTCCCTCTTTCCCCATCGCTGCCACCACCACCACCACCACCACCCCCCCCCCCGCCACGAACAATATTCACGTACTAGCCTTTCCATTCCCAGCACAAGGCCACGTGCTTCCTTTCCTAGACTTTATTCATCAACTAGCACTCAAAGGGCTAAGTATCACCATTTTAGTCACTCCTAAAAACCTACCTATCATAAACCCACTTTGCTCAACTCACCCAAATTATATTCATACATTAGTCTTACCCCTCCCTACTCACACCAAACTCCCTTTAGGTGCTGAAAATATAAAAGATATATGAGTTGACGGAGTTGCTCCTATTCTTGCAGCTTTAAGCAAACTAGAAGATGAAGTTATACAATGGTTTCAATCCCACCCTTCTCCTCCTCAAGCAATTATATACGACTTTTTCTTTGGGTACACCCAACATTGGGCAGAAAAACTCAACATACCGACAATTGCTTTCTTCACCTCAGGAGCATTCTTTACTTGTTTTTTTCAACGGCTAATGACAAACATGGCCAAGTTTCGTACTCCAGACATTATACAAATGCAAGACATTCCTAGATCCCCTTCCTTACATAAGGAGCAACAACCTACTTTATTTAGAAACTATAGGGAGGATGACTCTGATTGGAGGATTTTCAAAGAAAGTTTACTTACAAATCCTAAAAGTTAGTGTTATGTTTGCAATTCTTTCTATTCCTTAGAAGGGGAGTATATAGATCAAGTGAAAAAAAAGATTTGGGTCATGACCGAGTATTCAGTGTAGGTCCATTAAGGTCAATAAGTGGACCAAAGAGGGTTAACCCGGATTCTGATGCTGGTTATGGTGTGCTCAAGTGGCTTAATAGATGCCCTGATGAGAGTGTTTTGTACGTCTGTTTTGGGAGTCAGAAATCACTATCGAATCCCCAAATGGAGGCTCTTGCATTAGGGTTAGAACAAAGCAAGACACGCTTCGTGTGGGTGATCAAGGCAGAAGGTAGCCAGTTGGTCCCAGAAGGGTTCGAGGAGCGAGTCAAAGAACAAGGTTTAGTGATTAAGGGATGGGCACCACAAGTTGAGATATTAAACCACAAGGCAGTGAGCTTGTTCATGAGTCATTGTGGATGGAACTCGTTACTTGAGAGCATAATAGCAGGAGTGATGGTTTTAGCCTGGCCGATGGAAGCTGATCAGTTCCACAATGCCAAGCAGTTTGTAGAGTATGCAGAGTTGGCTGTTCGCGTATGTGAGGGAGTACACACGGTGCCTGAGTCGGATGAATTGGCTCGGATCATTAGCGAATCGATCAACGAGAATATACCGCAGAAGGAGAATGCTAAGGTGATGAGACAGAAGGCATTAGAGGCCGTGAAACTTGGTGGCAGCTCATCATCTGATGTCAATAAGTTAGTGAAAGAGTTGAGCCAAAATATTGCACTAAAAACTTGAAATTTATGAACATCAATTTTTTTATTTTATCAAGTCCAATAATTTATTTACATCAAATATAAGTGTGTACTTGTATGTAATTTAGGAAAACTCCCGATAATATCCTTATACTAGATATAAGCCCGTGAGATGCACGGTTCTAGTAAATATTTTTAATTAATTTAAGATTTTTTTATATGAAGATCATTCATCGGATATTTGAATAAAATTCCTAATATCATAAGATAATTTTTTTTTTTTAATTTTAACAGTTGTTTTTATCTATGTGGCAAAATTCTTAAATCTTAATCGTCACTTTTTCTTAGGTGGCGAGTGAATTTTTTAATTCTAAAATAAATTATTAATCTAAAATTCCATTGGTCAAAATAATATCTTTTCTTATGTGGCGCGTCGAATGCTCTCGAAAAATGCCTACTTTAATATTTTTTTGTGTACATCATACAAGTGAAATTGCATGGTTATTTATAGTAGAAAGAATTACTATTACATTGTGGGCTATAACCTTAGAGGGTGACAATTAGGGCTGGCTACTACATTAAATGCAATAAAGAAATTGGAGTGTGGACATTCACACCTTGACTTACTTAATTAACTCTTAACAAAAAGTCAATAATCTAACCTTTTGATTATCATTTTAAAAACCCAACCACGGGCTATTTCATATATAAATCATCTCAAGAAAAGATATTTTCGTATAGATTTTAAGTTTTTTTTAATAATTATTTAATTTATTTTACTATTTAATAATTTCACACGCAAAAAAAAACATAATAATTTAATTAAATTGTTATTGCCTATTACAAAAGTATATATTTTTTTCTAATGTAATTTATAATGCGACTTTATTTATTTATTTTTGTTTTGTATTTTATTTGTGGTTGTTCATTATATGACAATTAGGTTTAAAAATATGAATAAATTGAAATATGATATCTTTATGATATTTTATTGGTTACATGGATTAAATATTTAATGTGAAAAGATAATTTTCTTATTTTCTAAATAATTTAAATCCTAAATCATTATTCGTTGTTTTTTAACGAAATAAAAATATTATAAACATGTATACTATTTATCTTTTATTTTGATAGAATCACCAACTTCGTTCACACCCATATCTCTTCCATCTAATCAAAGCATTGTTAGCAAAAATAAATTTATATAAAATTAATCTTTATAGTCTTATAAAATAAATCAATATATTTATTTTATTGGTAATCCATAAACCTCGTGAATCGACGTTTCATACTGCTTGTTGTCCGTGAGATCGAGACTAAAGATACCTTTGATCCTACCCTGGCTGCCATAAAACCAATGCAAAGCATTGTCGGTAGCGACATCTTTTGCTTGTATGCACATATTCCTTTGCGGTTCCCTTAACGGAAAGGTGCAAGAATAGTCCCCAATCACGAAATTTTATTGGTGTTATAGGATGCGTCAATTTATAGTGATAGGCATCACAATTTTAATTTAATTATAATAAAGGAATAGTTTTTATTTCTTATCATAAACACTATCAAGATTAAATCTTGTATCTAATGATAATTTTTAAAAGGTAATTTTTAGTTTTTTAATTAAATTAAATCATGATAAATTACTAATCGTTATTTTTATTTACGTAGCAAAATTCTTAAATTTCATTCGTCACTTTTATTTAGGTGGCAAGTGAATTTTTTAATTCTAAAATAAAATAGAAATCTAATTTTTAATTGATCGAAAATATACCTTTGCTTATGTGGCACGCCAAATGCTCCCGAAAAATGTCTACTTTATTTATATATATATTAGATTAGATTTTGCTTTTAAATATCAATGGTATTTTTTTTTTTTTTTTTTTTTTTTTTGTAAAAAAGATTATCCTTGCCTTTGTTTTTATTTTACTTTTACATAAATAGCATTAATGAAAGTTTTTATTAAAAATATCCGTTAAATAACTAACTCTCCTCTTCATCCTCATCTCCCTTTAACTTTTCCATAATACATACCCAATTTCCCCCCTTGTTAATTGTTGTAACTGGTTTTGCTTGGACTCAGAAACCGTCAGTACAAAATTATAATCAAAATTAGTATATATGAATAATATAAATTCAAAATGTGTCTAATTGTCATCAAAATGATGATCTACCTATATTTACTTAGTCTTAGTAAAAAAAAACTTTAAAAAAAAATTCAAAGTTAAACCACAAATTCTCACCAATGTAAAATAATGTCATCAAGGTTTCAATTATAATCACGATGGATAGTATTCAAAAAGCAACTTTTCACAAATTTTTTACAAGACGGAATAAAAATGTTGACAATTAAAGCACATTAAATGATTAAAACATAGGAAAATTCAAATGGGTACCACAGAGATCACCCCCGATCTGCCAAAAATGGATAGAAAATCTTTGTTTATCTGAGAAATCTGTCTATCAAGGTGCATTTATGCCTCTTCACTCCAGCCCTCAAGTATTCTGTGAGCGTACGCTTTATCGATCAAAATACGAATGAAATCAAGAAGGCCGCCATCATTACTGCTTGCTTTGCTGCATTTTGTTAGGGATGATAATTCAGGTCAACAGGTTAGATTCGGGTTAGATTTCGAATCGATTTCGGGTTATATTTAGAAACCATCAAAAACAGTGTAAAACTTAACATTATTATGAAATATCAAATTTGGGTTTAATCGGGTTATTCGGGTCAAGTCGAGTTTGGATTTCTCTCAGTAACTTCGGATCGGGTTCAGGTTGAGTTATCAGGTGTGGTCAGGGATTGCCAACCCTACATTTTGTTACCCCATCGCGTTGTTCACCGCTACTTTTGGCCCTATCTTTCATTTATATGATCATTAACCCCATATTTTATTACTTTCTCCTAAAACTCCGCGCATGGAGAAATGAAGTAGATAATTAAAAACGAAGGGTATTACTTTCTCTTGAGAAATGAATTAAGTATTTCAAAACGGAGGGAATAGTTTAAATACTTCATTTCTCTATGCGCAGAATTTTATGAGAAATTAGATAAAGTTATAAAATATAGAGGTAGTGAGGTATGTGGAAGAATAAAAAATTGTAAAAAAACAAAAATAGTGTAGAGAATTTAAGGAGAAAATATAAAATTAATAAAATATGATTTATGTTGGGCCCACTAGTTGAGAGAAATAAATTAAATATTATAAAAGCTTTCCAAATAACGAAATGAAGCTAGTATTTAAAAACATTTAAAATAATAGGTATATATATATATAAATAAGGTCAAATTTTTACTAATTTTATGTTTGTGTATCAACATGTGAACAAAGTTTGATTGTGTCAGTAAGAGTATGTTTTTCCGAACACAACTGTATATACACCCTAAATAGAAAAGGAAAATAAAAAAAAGGCTGTAGAAAACAGAACAAGGCGGGAGCCCACGAACATGTCCACAAGCTCCACCATGGTATTGGACTACTGTCATTTTCTTTTCAGATAAAGGAGAAATGATAACCCAAGAAAATGAATAAAGTGTAGTACGGTGTTTCAAAAAATCAACAAGGGTCCATGTAAATCACATCATCCACAAAGGCAAACACCTTCCCAATAAACCTGTAGTTGAATTTTCTTAATCGACCTCTACTCATAGTCATATACAACGCTGCAAAAAACATGGCCGACACTGCTACCACCGCTACCACTGCCGCTTCCGCCACCCATATTTTAGTCTTTCCATACCCAGCTCAAGGCCACATGCCTGCCCTGCTAGACCTCACCCATCAATTAGCTCTCAGGGGACTTAAAATTACAGTCTTGATCACCCCAAAAAACCTCCCTGCCTTATCCCCACTCCTCTCAACCCACCCAACTTCCATTGAAACCTTAGTCTTACCTTTACCTCCTCACCCTAAAGTTCCTCTAGGGGTAGAAAATCTAAAGGATATCGGAAATTCCGGTAATGCGCCCGTTACTGCTGCACTTAGCAAGCTAGAAGGGGAAGTTATCCAGTGGTTCCGGTCCCACCCTTCTCCCCCTCAAGCTATAATTTCTGATTTCTTCCTTGGGTGCACCCAACATTGGGCAACACAGCTCAACATACCTAGAATTGCATTCTTTTCAGTATCTGCATTTTTGACCTGTATATTTACCCATCTATGGCAGCAATCAGACAAGCTGAATAATTCAAACAATTTTGAATTTCCAGATCTGCCCTCGTCGCCTTCCTTTACTCATGATCAGTTACCTTCTATATTTAGGAAGTTCAAGAAGGGTGATCCTGACTGGGAGATTGTTAGAGAAGGCATGTGTGCAAATTCCAACAGCTGGGGATATGTTTACAATTCCTTTTACGCCTTAGAAGGGGAGTATCTAGATCACATAAAGAGAGAACTGGGTCATGGCCGAGTATACAGTGTCGGCCCGTTAGGCTTAATAGGCTTATCCAAGAGGGTTAGCCCGGGTGTAGATACTAGATATGACGTGCTCAACTGGCTTGATACATGCCCTGATAATAGTGTGTTGTATGTCTGTTTTGGAAGTCAGAAGCTGTTAACTGAACCTCAAATCAGAGCTCTGGCTTTAGGTTTAGAGCAAAGCAAGACCCGGTTTATATGGGTGGTCAAGTCCGTCTCAAGTCAACAGGTCCCAGATGGGTTTGAGGAGTGGGTCTCTGATCGAGGTATGGTTCTAAGAGGATGGGCTCCACAACCAGAGATACTAAACCATAAAGCAGCAGGTGGGTTCATGAGTCACTGTGGGTGGAACTCATTACTAGAGAGTGTAATAGCAGGAGTAATGATTTTAGCTTGGCCAATGGAAGCTGACCAGTTCCAGAATGCCAGGCAATTAGTTGAGTATGCAGGGTTGGCAATTCGAGTATGTGAAGGTGAACACACGGTGCCTGACTCCAATTCATTGGCTGGAATCATATATGAGTCGATTAGTCAAGATATACCACAGAAGGCAAGGGCTAGGGCAATGAGGGAGAAGACATTAGAGGCGATTAAAGATGGCGGAAGTTCAGCAGTAGGCCTTGATGAGCTAGTGAAAGAATTGAACCAGCTTGGAGTACCAAAGACTTGAAAATGAGGCAGTTTCTGTAAGAATAATTACACTATCATCAGTTATGACTTATAAGCCTCTGTAAGCTCAAGTATTAGCAGTCATAAGCCTTAATAGTTTATTAAGAATAATTACACTATCATCAGTTATGAGCCCTCAAAGCTGAAGTATAAGCAGTCAACAGCCTTTATAATTTATTATAGAATCCAAGTTTCTAAAAGAAAAAAAATGCCTTTGCGGCTGTTGCAGAGTTGATGTAAGCAAACAAGACCATCTTTGTGAAATTAATATATAATTTGTAAATCTATTCAGGTGTGTATGCTGAGGTTTTCAGGCGTGCTAAAATATATTGTTTTATTAATGACATGCAGATAGCTGAGGATTGTCAATCCTTATAATGACCTTACATAAAAGCAGCAAAAGCAAATACTATAATAATGAAGAATTACTTCCAAAATTTGTTCCTCTCATAATTTACTCTGCAAATGAGAGTTTTAATTTTGTTCAGCCCATTTTGTACACAAACTCTTGTATGTGTTCAAGAAGTATATACTATAGTGAATGTCAATTTGTTGCTTACAGTTCATAGTGCCTCTTTTGGCCACTGCATGATAATTGCACCATTTTCAATCTTGATACCTTTTCGCACTTTTGGTATGCGTTCGCACACCAAGTTTTTATTCTTTATAGACTTTTTTTTTTTGGATGATTTAAAGACATTTAATAATATTCGTTATTTTTTTAGTGAACACGCTTTGACTTCTAACACTATTCACAAACTAAACTTTTACTAACTTTTATGATTTATAGGCTTATAGCTATAATAAAACATCGTCGTGGAATTTTGTTAGAATCATCTCACTATATATTTTAATAATATCAACATCATATAATTTTTCATCATTAATAATTAGAGATTAAAAAGAATGGAGGAAAGTATATTAAAACCCCACTCTCTCTCCTATGTAATCACATGAGAATTAATAATATCCCCAATACTTACTCCATTTCTTAGACTTTAAGCCAATAGGTGCAATTAGGGGAAAAACAGAAGAGTAAGTTCTATAAATCTTGAAATTCTGTATAGCCTGTACATCCTATATTCCTATGCACATAATAACAGCAAATAAGCTCGACTGTGATTGGATATTTTATCTATGGAAAATTAATCTGAAACTGTTAAAAGCCTCGACACAAATCAGAATTTAAGAGCTCACAATTGTCATGGACTCATGGGCTATTAGGCTCATAGCTTTTATCATAAGAGGTTGTAGAAAATCTCAGAGAGGAATCTACCTTGTAAACAAGCTGAATCACCTGAAGAAATGAAATCTTTGATTTGCGTTCAATGTTCTGTTGGCAGTACCCATAACTCTATAACAGCACCTTTCATGCTTGTATATCGTATGGAAGGAAGTCTTATGTCGGACCCCTGAGGAAGTAAACATTTCTTAAACATGTTAAGTCGGGAATTCTTACACATTCACTTATGTGATGTAATATTATAGATGCTTCAAAAGTATTATTAAATGCAATAGAACCTGCAATTCAATATAGCAATACTAAACATTGAAAGCCTGAGCGGATACTGGATTCTATTATGCGATCTTACTCCATTTGTACAATTGACATAAAGTTTACTCAACATGGTAGCGAGGCACATGGCTTCCCATGTGAACATAATGACTACATTTAAAAATATATACTACGTATCAAAATTCAATTGATTAATAAGCTTCGAGTTGTTAATTTAATACATGACCAAAAAAAACAATAGAATAAGCTTACTCCTCTTTACTAGGAATTTAAAAAAAAAAATTAAGAAAATATTATATAAAAAACACCGCATTGTCTTTTTATGATGTATGATTCAATTTAAAAAGACCAGAGACTTGGATCTACCAAATGAGCATTTTCCATACATCTACAGTAGGTTTACCTTACCATCTCTATTATATACATATAGTATCCAATTGAAGAGACATTTAAATAGGTATAATATATGCAGCACTAAGGGGTAAAGAGATAATTGTATTGTATTCAATTGGCTTGACAAATGTCAAGATTAGAGCGTTTTGTATGTATTTTTTGGGAGTCCAAATATGCCAAATGAACCCCAAATTAAGGCTCTACCACTAGGTTTGAAAGCAGAATAAATCACTTCGTATGGGTAGTAAACTCAGCAGCCAGCCACAACATTCTAAATGGTTTTGAGGAGTGCATCTCGCCATCTTGGACCAGGGTTCGATAATTAGAGGGTTGGCTACACAAGTGGAAATACTGAATCACAAAGCTGTAGGGGGGTTTGTTGTCACAAAGATGGAACTCATTGCAAGAGAGCATTACGGCTGGCTTTATGGTTTTAGCTTGGGCAATGGAGACTGATCAGTTTGCCAGCGCTAGGATTTTGGTAGAGTATACAAGCTTGCCAATACAGCTGTGTGAGGGAAAACATACAGCATACCATCTGTAAGTCACTGTAAAATACAAAATCAAGAAAGGGAGAGAGAGGGGAGGGGGAGCCCATCTATCATATCATCCCAAGGACGTAGAATCCAAAACCTTTCCCAATAAACCTGTAGTTAATTTCCTTCAACCTCTACTCATATAGTAATATACAACCAAAAAAAATGACCGACACTGTTACCGCCGCTTCCGCCACCCATATCTTAGTCTTTCCATACCCAGCTCAAGGCCACATGCCTGCCCTGCTAGACCTGACCCATCAATTAGCTCTCAGAGGACTTAAAATTACAGTCTTGATCACCCCAAAAAATCTCCCTGCCTTAACCCCACTACTCTCAACCTACCCAACTTCCATCGATCCCTTAGTCTTACCCTTTCCTCCTCACCCTAAACTTCCTCTAGGGGTAGAGAATATAAAGGACATCGGCAATTCTGGTAATGCGCCCGTCACTGCTGCACTTAGCAAGCTAAAAGGAGAGGTCATTCAGTGGTTCCGGTCCCACCCATCGCCCCCTCAGGCTATAATCTCTGATTTCTTCCTCGGGTGCACCCAAGATTGGGCAACACAGCTAAACATACCTAGAATTGCATTTTTTACATCCTCTGCATTTTTGACCTGTATACTTACCCATCTATGGCAGGACTTGGGAAAACAAAATATTTCAAATAATTTTGAATTTTCAGATCTACCCTCGTCGCCTTCTTTTACTCTGGACCAGTTACCATCTATATTTAGAAAGTTCAGGGAGGATGATCCCGATTGGGAGATTGTTAAGGCAGGCCTGCATGCAAATTCCAAGAGCTGGGGAAATGTTTTCAATTCTTTCTACGACTTAGAAGGGGAGTATATAAACCACATAAAAAAGGAACTGGGTCATGACCGTGTATACAGCGTTGGCCCGTTAAGCTTAATAGGCTTATCCAAGAGGGTTAACCCGGGTTTTAATACCAGATATGATGTACTCAACTGGCTTGATACATGCCCTAGTGATAGTGTGCTGTATGTATGTTTTGGAAGTCAAAAGCTGCTGACAGAACCTCAAATCAGAGCTCTGGCTTTAGGTTTAGAGCAAAGCAAGACCCGGTTCATATGGGTGGTCAAGTCTGCCTCAAGTCAAAAGGTCCCAGATGGGTTTGAGGAGCGGGTGTCTAATCGGGGTATGGTGCTAAGAGGTTGGGCACCACAAGTGGAGATACTGAACCATAAAGCAGTAGGTGGGTTCATGAGTCACTGTGGGTGGAACTCAGTACTAGAGAGTGTAATAGCAGGAGTGATGATCTTAGCTTGGCCAATGGAAGCCGACCAATTCCAAAATGCCAAGCAGTTAGTAGACTATGCAGGGTTGGCAATTCAGCTATGTCAAGGCGAACACATGGTGCCTAATTCGGATTCGTTGGGTCAAATCATATATGAGTCAATTGGTCAACAAATACCACAGAAGGCAGGGGCTAGGGCAATGAGGGAGAAGGCATTAGAAGCGGTGAGAACAGGTGGAAGTTCAGCAGTTGGCCTTGATGAGCTGGTGAGAGAATTGAACCAGCTTGGAGTACCAAAACCTTAAAAAAGAGGCTGCTACAGTAAGATAATTAAACAGTCATCAGTTATAAGCCTCTCAAAACTGAAGTACAAGCAGTCATAAGCCTTTATAATTTAGGGGCCGTTTGGTTCGCACACATTAAATGGAATGGAATCAACAAAGGAAAAGGAAGAGAAAGGAAAGCTAATCCTTCATTTTTGTATTGTTGTTTGTTTTACATAAACAAAGGGAATCACATTTGCAACCACCACTACTCTCCTCCTTCTACAACCACCACTACCCCTTAAATCTACCCTTCACCAACCACCACCACCACCACGTTAGCCACCGCCCTCCTCACGACCTTCCACCGTCTCCCCTATCGCCTGCCCTTGCCGCCACTGGTTCCCTCCCCTCTATCGCCATTAATGTCCTCTTCTCTCTCAATTTTTTTTAAAAAATTTATTTATTAGCTAGATCTAGTTGTTTGGTTGTTTATAGGGTGTTAAGGATTATTTTTAGATGTTTGTGGGTAACTTGGGGTGTTTATGGAGAAATATAGGGTTTTTTTTGGGTGGTTTTGTGGTGAATTTGGAGGTTTTGGAGATATGGGTGGTGGTTGTGTCGAATTGGGTGAGGTGGTTCACATGGATGGGTTTTCGGGTGGGTTTAGGTCGATTTGGTGCAATTGTTTTCGGGGAGGGTGGATTTAGGGTGGTTTCGGTGGGGTGGTTGTTAAGGAGGGTGGGTTTTTTCCGGTGGGTTTAGGGCGATTTGAGAGGCCTGCCGGTGAAGTTGGGTCGGTTGATGGTGGTGGTGTCAACGGTTGGGCAGTGGTTCTGGCGGCGGTTAAATAATGGTAATGGCAGCTAAGGCGGCGGCTATGGTTGTTGGGCGGTGCATCTGGTGGCGGTTAAACAATGGTGATGGCGGCTAGGGTTCTGGGCGGTGGTTCTGATTGTTGGGTAGTGTTTTCAATGTTGGTGAAAGGTAGTTACAAGGTGGTCATGGCAGTTGGGTGAAGAGGGATTTGGGGGAAAGAGTGATTCCCTAGGGGGGGTGGGGGAATCAAAGTAGAGGAAAATGGGGTAATAAGAGGGGTAAAGGGAATGATTGATTGTGTGTAACAAACATCATCAAAGGGATTTAAGGTAGTTGATTCCCTTTCCCTTTCTTGAATACCCCCAACTAAACGGCCCCTAATTATAATAAGGATCAAGGTAGTATTAAGAAGAATAAAAAAAAAAGCCTTTGAGGCTGTTGCAGAGTTGATGTAAGCACACAGGATTATCTTTGTGAAACTTTATTTTTATGATTTTTCACGTGTGTGATGATGAGGTTTTCAGGCATGCTAAAAATTATTGTTTTATTAATGACATGCAGATAACTGACGTTTGACAACCCTATTGACCTGGTATAAAAGCAGCTAAGATGAATACTGTTGTAACGAAGAGTAACTTTAAGAATTTATTCCACAATTAATCTTCAAATGAGAGTTTCATTTTTGTTTAGACCAGTATGTACACTAATACTTGCGGATTGTTGCAAGATATATAATATATTGAATGTAATGCTTCATACTCCCTTTTTTGGTCATTGCATAATAATAGCAGCTTTTCCAATTTTGGAACGTTTTCACACTTTTGGACTTTTGTATGCTGTCACACATCAACACTTATTGTTTATAGTCATTTATTTTTGGCAGTTTTATCAACATTTAATCTATTGAAACCCCACTTTCTCTCCCCTTTGTAATCACATGGAAATTTTTAATATCCCCCACAATTTACTCCACTTCTCACCAACAAAGGTGCAGTTAGGAAAAAAAACAGAAGTGTATCCATAATCTTCAAATTTTATATAGCGTGTGAATCCTATGAACCTATACACGTAATGATAGCCAATAAGCTCGACTAAAATTGGACGTTTTTATCTATGGAAAGTTAATCTGAAATTATTAGAAGCCTAGACAAAAATCAGAAATAGACATTAAAAAAATAAAGATCCTATAACAGTATATTTACCTATCTCTTGACTTCAGTTCTTGTGGCACAGCTTGTTCCGCTGAGAAGTTACTACCTGAAATTTACACAATCATGCATCAAAAACAAGTTTCTTCATTAACTTGGATTCCCATTCATTCGTATATGATTTCATAAAAAAGAGGCACCTTTAGTACAATTTCTAATATCACTCAAAGCCAAACTACCTGACAGTCTGACACCCCACCCGGACCTTACAGGCTCACAGATTAGCTATATTTTTCATTTTAGGATGAAAAACCAACTTATGAACCAATTGAAGAGACACTAACCAATTGATTTTTTTGTTAAGATATAAGGAAATATCCTATCGGGATGATCACTAAAAGTCAATTACTAAACAAGTCCATCTTACCTTTCTCCTCCCATAATAAATTTTTCTTGGGGTTGAGAATACATACAACAATAGAGAGCTTACTATGATTATATTAGTTTGAATTTGATTAGTCATTCCCTTAAGCAATTTAATCATATGAAACTTCACTTACCAGACACACCATCTAACAAATTGAAGTAAACAAGCTACGTGATGCAATTGAAACATACATATTCAAGCTCCATAGAGCATAGCTACACTACTATTGAAGTTCATATATAGGCTCCTCAAAGCAGTAGGAAAATTTAGCATATTTATTGTGACGCCAATTTGAATATCAGGGTCGCGTTAACATTTTTCAAGGTTTGCCTAGGCCACTATGGACATGCTTTGAATGAAAGTTAAGGGGAAGTCAAATAAGAGAACATATCAGTCATACATGCTAGAGCCAACTCATTTATCAAGAGCCAAGACATGGACAACAACGCTCGTCTTAGAAAGAGCACACTAACCTGCAGATCAACTCTTTCTGAAAATTTGGATCAGAGCACAGTTCATTGAGCTTGATTGCAGAAGTAACATGAGGCTCGTAATTACAGGTGGCCTTCTGTATTGTTCCGCAAATGAAACATCCAACTCAAAAGAAGTACAATATTTTACTCCTGAGGAAACCCATTAAGTTATTCAGAACTTGAATTTGCATATTTGACATGGGATAAGATCAAATTTTGAATAAAAATATTTTACATTGTTACCACAATTGGGACACTCTGTTCATTCAGGAAAGAAACAAAGAATGTAATAAGATACAAAGCCTGCCAGGCCAGGCAATTTCTCTTAGGATAGATGGGTGTGAGAAGAAAGCAGATAAAATTAAGTGTAAACTAATGTGAGTAAAAAAAATCTAGAACACTCCACATTTGGTTTGTGTAGAACACCATTCATGTCCAACCAAACATCACGCCAGAACCCAGATTAATAATCTCTATTTATATTCTTACTCCGTTCCCCTAATATTGCAACAAGGGAGGTAGGCATGGATTTTAAGATGGGGAGAGAGATAGAGAGAAATAAAGACATAGACCCATGTAATGAAAAGAGAGATAGAAAGAAAGCATGCGCAAAAAAGAAAATGTTGCAATATTTATGAAACATCCTAAAATGGTAGTATAAATACCAGGACCCCTTAATGTAATCTTATGCATGAACCCTGACAACGCCGAAGCAAATAACAGGACTGGTGCAATCATTCTACATTTAGAAGTCACCGTAGAATCTTTATATAGTAGCTCATGCAATTGTTCACTGGTTAGATATCAGATTCCATCAATTACCGATTATTAGGATCCTAAAATGATGGCTTTGCAACATGACTAACAAAGTCAAACAGTTAGTGACTGACGGTGACAAAGTACATGACAATCCAATATCTAAGTATGATTAGAATTACTTCATTACCTAATTTTAGAAGATAGCCAAGGTACATCTTGAAAACCCAAGAATTCCAGCGCAATGGCCTCATACTGAACATCCATAGTTGTTGTAACTATAGCCAATATCAGCTTGCTAACCATAAAAACACATTCCACAATTTCTACATATGCAGTTACCACTGTACAGGTCCAGCTATTGATAGTAGTCTCTCTCTGCAGGACATTGTCCAAGTAAAACCAGAAGTATAGTTTCAACAACAGCTACTTTAATGATTTTCTCTTGTCATGGCAGCCATATACATATTCATATCTTCAACACATCAGTCTTGCAAGCATAAGTTCTCCTGCATGATGACCAGACAAACAATTAGATCGGCTCCTATATTTCACAAGCTCACAAGATTAGGCTTGATGATACATATGCTGAAAAGTAGCATACATAATTTATATATGAATCAAGGCCATTTCTATAAGATATCAACGCACTCAAAGCACTTAAGATGATGTTGATGGGGTTAGACACTTAGACTGTTAAATACAGTGCCACTTATTGCTATCCTCAGGATATACAGAATGTTTGCTTGATCCCCACCCCACATTGGCAACAAATCCTAGCCTGTATGATAACATCCGTTTTGTAGACAATACACAAAACTAATATGCTATATCCTGATTGACCAGGAATATGATATGCGTTCGTTGTCCAGGAATTTCAGGCTTCATCCACCAAATGCATGATACACAAAGGCTAGGACAAGGCTGTGTAACAGTTAAAATTTCATAGTGGGTTGATATTAACATTGGTTGTATCTGTTTGACATATATCAAAACTTCTAATTTCAGAAAGACGTCCAAGATAATCCTCTGCCTTCATGAAATCTGCCAATTATGCTCTTCAAAGTGCCTTAATAATAATCAAGAATTATAATCTAATTTTACCCAACTAGATAAGATACAAATCCAGAATTCTCAAGGCACTTATCATTCAGAGTCCCCATTAGCATTTGACTGGGTCAAATTCTATATAGTTATGGAAGATTGCATTACAGATTCTTTAGGGAGTAATAATATTTTAAATCAGACCCATGGTGCGAACTTATAGAGTAATGCTCTAGTGAGCATCTTTTTACATCAGTAGCTTGGCCCCTTAAGGAGCTAACTGCCACATCTGCAATTGAACCAAGCAATTCTTTGTTTTATCAAAACTTTTAATTGCTAACGGAAGTGAAACTTAGTATTACAATGTGTGTAGTAATTAAATGCTAGAAAATATAGATTCCAAACAAGAACAAGCTGTTTTCGAACTCTGACACCCACGGATTCTCCTTGCAACCCAAAATAAAAATGCCTAACCAGTAATTTCACTAAAGATTCAGCTTAATAAAACTGAATAAATAAATAAACATATCAAGACAGTTAAGAAAATCAACGTTAAGAAAAGGTAAGATTTCCTCCATATACTTAACTAGGGAAAAGAAGGGGAAAAATATTAAGAAAAGCCATGATATTTTTTATGACTTAAGTTTTCTATAGCAGCAGAATTGAGCAAATCAAGCGATAAAATTTTTTTTTAATGATTGTTACTTTGTAATTTCGCAAGGTGCGTCTCATGACAATGTCAATGTCATGGTACAGCTTCTCCACATCCCCGAAAAAGTATAGAAGTGCATAACATAAAAAGAACTTTCAAGATACAAGTGTTGGTACAAGCTAAAAATAAAAAACAGTGATGAGATATATTGACAAGAATTATTCTTAGAAAAAACGAATAATTAAAAGGTTAAATAACACCTTACAAAGAAAGCATGAAAAAAAATCTAGAAACACTAAGTATATTAATGCTCTTAGTTTATAGAGCACTTAAACTATTCGCTTTCCATTGCCACTGAGGCAAACAGAATTTTATTTTATTTTTCCTCTAAATTATAAATAGAGCATATATGTAGTTTGCAAATCAGCATTCGAACCAATGAATAAATGAAAGGTTACATAGCATATAAGTTTCCACATCAAATGCAAAAGCCAACTTGTAAAAGATATCACATAGCCATCTATACTTGAGAGAGAAAATATTTTTAAAGATCATGCCAGTGGTTGCATTAAGCAAAGTGTAAGCTATATGTACCAAAATTAGAAATAAAAACAGGAACAAAAAATGCAAGTTCTGCATACCTGACATGCAAACTCATTGCAACACCATCTCAAGTTCTCAACATTCTGAGATAAAGGAGCAAAAAAAACTTTGCTTCTCATAGATCATATTATAGAAAGGTCTCATCCAACACACCATAGAGAATCTTATCAGGTGAAAGTCCCTCATATAACATAATGCAGAGAAAAAGCTTTGCTTCAGTTAAGAACCCCCTTTTGCACAACCTATTTATAATAGCACTATAATCTTTGATGGAGACTTGATAACCATGTTGCAGCATGCAATGAAAAATTACTATTGCGGCAGATGTATCTCCCTTAACACAATGCGCTTTTATCAACGTCATGTAAGCAACCTTTGACAAACTAATCTGCTGATGTTGAAGAAAACACATTAAATTGTCTGCAGCCTTTAAACCACCATATAAGCAGAGGCCATTCAAGAGAATATTATAAGTGACAGAACTAGGCTGAAGATTCTCCCTTATCATCTCATCATGTAGCCATAAAGCTGTACTCAAGTCCTTAGCTTTGCAAAGACATTGGATAATGGTATTATAAGTTACTTGATCTGGTTTTAGACCCTTGTTGTACATAGTTTCTAGTACTTGAAAAGATTCCTGCCACCTCCTTTGGTTGCAGAGACCTTTAATCAGAACAGTGTATGTGACATGATTTGGGTTTACATTTTCTGCCATCATCTCCCGAAGCAGCTCAAGCATGGCACTTATATCTTCATTTTTACAGTAACCATCCATTAGAGTGGTGTAGGTTGTAGAATTTGGTACAAGTCCATGTACTTTAATTGCCTCAAACCATGTTCTGGCCTCCACTAGTCTTCCACTTCTACAAAAACCATGAATCAAAGAATTAAATGTGATTATTGTTGGATCAATACCCTTTTCCAACAGTTGTGTATATAACTGTACAGCATCTCCAATATTACCAAATT